TCGAATGTTACACAATATAAAAAAGATCGACATTTGATTTTATCACCTCGTGATATAACGAATGTCCATTATGCTAGTCTATGTAGTTGTGTTAATCATGGCTTATGATAAGTTGTGCTTAAGATCTGGGAAACCTTTAATAAAAGTTTTTTTGGGGAAGGTCTACTGATTCTGGAAGTTCGCTTTCCTTGTCTTCTTCTTCGTTTTCCTTGTAAAAGCCTTTCTTCTTCTTCGCTTTCCTCATTAAAAGCATTTTCCCACTTGTTTATGAAAAAGTCATTTTTTTCTCTTTATGCAAACTTTATTCTTTTAGTTTTCCTTATTAAGCTATATTTTGATTTTATTTTTTATTCCAGAAAATCGCAAATACCATTGCTGTAGAATAGCGGAATACTCAGTTTACATGGAAGGATCTATTTAAGGTCTCAACGTCGTCGATATAGACGACAGAATATAGATCGCCGTCAGTATCAGCACTGAATTCGAAATCATAGATCTCGTTTCCGGGATCATAGATCCCATTCTCGAGCCGCCGTCCATTGTAATGAAATTAAAAGTTGGATTGAGAATAAAATATCCATTCCATTTATACATGTTAAAAGAGGGTAATTCATTAACGTTAACATTAAATTGATCATCTATAAATTTATACTAACATTAGATCAATTTTAGCTATGCTCATGTTTATTTGATAACTTCAGTCAATTATATTATAGAAGTAGGTTTTTTTCTTTAAGGTAATTAAAAAGATTTTTTTTTAATTTTGTTATTAAATTCAGGAACCACTCGAGTCAATAAATTCGGATGAACCACCCAAGTCAATAAATTCGGATGAACAACTCAAGTCAACAGATTCGGATGAACCTCATATAGGAGCATTTCCAGTAAAATCACATTACAGATCATATGATTTACTATGTCTTGATTTTACTGGAAACGTTCCTATATAATCTATATGACTTATATGATTTTGTTATAAGTCATTTGTTATTTTGAAGGGTCTATGACTTACTATGACTTACGACTTTGTTATATGATTTAATTCAGGCTGGCATTATAAAAATATAATTTCCATAAAAGGTATTCATATTACACAAAGTCTTAAAATGACAATTTTTAGATTTAAAACATATACAGTCAACTTCAGTGTGTAAAATCTATGTGCACAATGTGTATATGTGCACATTAATTTTTTGTGTGCATATATTACACAACATAAAATGTGCACAAATTATTACTAAAAATAGATAAATTATGTATTAAAAAGGTAATTTTACATAAGAAAATGTTATAATTTTCTTATTTTAGTAATAATTAATCAATTCGTGCATATAAATTTTAACTTAGATTTTATATACTGGTCAACTCTTTTTATAGCGAATTTTGATATAATTAATTTCACAATATAATTGATCTATAGTGTGATACAGATTTTTAAATATAGAAAAAACCTTTTTATACTTAATTTATTAAACTAAAATTTGTATTACATTTAATGAATTTAAGTGTGTGAACATGCATTATATAAATACCTTTTGTATAATACATTATTTATAATGAAGATTTTTTTTAATACAAC